TTCATTGGCTTCATATAATTTACAATCAGTGATAAGTGTGAGATTAACGAGGCTTCACTGCTAGAGTTCTGATGCTTGGATAGGCAGAAAATATCTGAGAATTTTATAAAATATGCTTGAGAATAGAAAATTGTGTCCTCTGAGCTCACCTCTTGATACCCTATTTATATATTTAAGTAGGATCATGCGCGTTATAAAATTGACTACACATATATATATGACTATTAAAAAATAAGAAAAAAATACAAGCATCTTTTAGCCTAATTAGAATGTACAACTTGTAGAAGTTGTTTGTCAAGCTAAGAAGAATTAGTTAGCTTGTCATGCATAGGTGGATGAATACTCAATCGATATTTCCCATATGAATGAAAAAAGTCATCCACTTTAGTAGTCATCGAGGACAATATGATAGGTTGTACTCATGTGCTTGGGATAAATTAATAAAATGTAGTCACATACTTTAAGTGAGTTCATTTGTAGACTGGACGAGTTCTTTTTTAGTTGATATAGAGCAGAAAGAGTTGCTTAACTTGAGCTAGGATGACTTGCCTTGAATCAAAGTTACTAGATATTTCAATGTACATAAGTGATGTTCTTGCTGGTAGTGCTATCATAACACTATTAGAATCCACATTTTATCTTGTAATGTGTGGTGATGATGTTATTTATTAAATGTTCAAGCTCTAATGGTTGCATAATATGCATGGTATTGCAAGATCATCCTTCATCACTATTAAAAATTTTGCCAGAGACATGTTGGGGAATATATATTCTAAGGTAGAGAGGTATATTTGGGGCAACAGGATGATTGTCCAGACTATTTATCAGAATTTTTAACAAAAACTTGATGAGAGATATCCCAAGATCGATTCCTAAGAGATGCTCTAAAAAATATTTACAAGAGAGCTCACTAAGAAGTGTTTTTTGGAAAAATGATTCCTATTAATGTGCCATCATTACATCAATGTTATACCAAATCAATCATAATTATAACGAACATCTAAATGATCAAAATTACATCAAACTTTTAGACAATCTTTTGATTTTAATAATGGTGTTTTGGGATTCATGCTATGCATTACAAGGAAAGAAGAAGCTACCCTTTGATCATGGGCATTTAAGAATGCAATAATTTCTTAAAGTTTTTGTGATAGGACCACCTTCTAATTGTTTAAGTTAGAGCTTCAATCGTTCCAAGTTATTGCCTTTAAAAATTGCTTGGCTCTTATGATGAATGTGCTGCCACATTTTTTATATAGGCAGATTTTTAGTAACTGAGATTCACATCCAGATGCAGACAGAGTAACAATCTGCAGTTAAATTATGACTCGATAATTTATTCATTAAACGTTAGTGGGACTAAAAATTTAAGTTTCTTTTGGGATTTTTTTTTCTTTTTAAAATAGTTTTCTAGTATAAATTTTTTTATGAATTATAAAATTTTATAATAGAAAGCCATTTTATGAAACAGTGCAAAAGTTGTCCAAAGGCTTCGTTTAGGACTACTTTTTTGCTGCTTTTTAAAGCAGCTTTCGAGCAAAAATTTCAACTTTTATACTAAAAAATTGTTTTAATAAGCAGTAAAAAAGTCGTCCCAAATCAAACCTTAGGCTTCTTTTGAGATATCTTTTTTATTAATTTTTAAATCAGTTTTTAAGTATAAAAATTTTTTCAACTAGAATTTTTTTTACTAAAAAATTAGTTTAAAAAGAAGTGAGAAATATGTCCTGAACAAAACCTTAATTATTATTCAAATATCATTGCATAGCTGCAGCAAATAGAAAGCCTTTTAGTGAAAAAAATCTGACTCAGCCTAATTTTAGTTCTTATTAAGACAAATTTTAAAAATTGATTTATGATATTAATATATATTTGTATAGGAAATGTAAATGTATAATATGTAACATAAAGTTTCTCAAAAAGAAAAAAAAAATCATAATATTTTTTTATTTTCCCATAAATTTTGAACTAAATATTTTTATGAATTTATATCTTATCTATAAAATTATTGTATAATTATTATTTCATTAATTACACGCCAATCTTTTAATATTTTTCTACTTTATAATAAATTTCATAGCAAATATCTCTAATATTCTTACATTATCTATAAATCAAAATAGCACAATTTAATGTTTAAATATAATTACAAAATTAATTATTAAAATTGGCATGGGTGAGATATCTAAAATAACTTATAATTTTTTTTATAAGTACTATATTTTATAATAAACTTAGGATCTATTTGGGACGTCTTTCTCTTTCAAACCGCAATTGCAGTTCTACGACTATTATTATTTTTTAAAAATTTCTATGAAGGGAGGCTGCTTTTTACAACCATAATTATTAATCTATAATATCTTAAAAATTAAAAAATGAACATATATATAATATTTACAGCAGCTTTCAAAAAATCACTTTTTCTTACGACAGCTTCAAAATAACTGTTATAAAATACTGCAGCCGTCTCAAACAAAGCCTATAAATATCACTAAAGCTTAATCACTTTTTAATAATTTTCTAGCGTTAGGTTATCTCCATGATTGAAGTTCACATGCGATGGCTTTTTCAAGTTAAAAGTGGTTCTTCCTTTGTCGGATCTCTCTTGAAAACGCTGTGCACAAATTATTCCAACAACTCCTGATCGTTTATCATGTTCTCAATATCAATCATGTGGACTTTAAAAAAAAAAAATAATCTAAGTCAAATTAGTTATTGCCATACTGTGATAAGACTGTGTAACAACTTTATTTTATGTTATAAAAAAAAGATATAATCTGGTGTGGTGCTCCATCGGTGCAGGTTAAACAATTAATATCACTTACTTGGCTGACTAAGATTGAGGTAATAGTATATTTAAGAGAGAGTGCTTAAGAAGTGATGTATTTTTTAATTAGTGTGAAGTAAACGCATTATTATTTTTATTAATATAAATATAATTAAGCTGTTGTATGAGTACAAAGTTATGAAGTAAATAAATGCATGATTAGGACGCATAATTATAATATTTTTTCTTCCTAGTATGATTTGATTGAGGCTTTTATGGCTCTCGTTGTTGCTTTTGAAGTAAATAAATAAATGATTAGGATGCATATTTACATTATTTTTCTTTGCAGTATGATTTGATTGAGGCTTTTCTTGCTCCCTATTGCATTTGATTCTCTCTCTCTCTATACAATTCATTAACAAAAAATTTGATAAGAGGAGTAATAAAGAACCATAATTATTAATATATATATAAGGAAGATGAGTTCTAAGTTAAGCTTCATTTGAGATAGATTTTTTATTGTTTTTTAAAGCAGCTTCCTGGTACAAAAATTTCTAGTTCAACAAATTTTAGGGTACTAAAAAGTCATTTTGAAAAGCAATAAGAAATTAAGTTGTCACAAATGAAGCCTAAATGTCGCTCTTTATGAGATAGGAAGGATGACACTGAGAAAGAGTTGATGATGAAAGTGTTCCATTGCAATGATGAAGAACAAATTTCATGTTGATGACTTGTAATATTATTATTATTTAAAATTATCTCACTTCATGCAATATAAATATTGTGATATATCACACACTCTTTGTATTTATTACGATTTGTATCAATAAAATCTATCTCCTTTCCTTGTCTTTTGCTTCGAGCTTTCTTATTTTTATGTATTTATTATGATTAATCATATCCACTTATTTTAGAAGAATTAGTTTTTTAGACCAAAAGAATCTTGTTTGATTCTTATAATAAAATATTCTCCTTAGGGCACCCTAATAAGTGAGTTTGAATTGGTTTTATAATCTTTGAGAGAATGCTTCATTAATAAGCAAATAATTCAATTTTTGAGAGTCCAAATGTATGTTAGTAAAGTGACTCAATGAAATTCATCATACAACAAACTATTTTGAAAATTTGATCCTTTATAATTGAAACAATTATTACTTCCCAACTATGCTCAAAGACAATTTTATTAGTCATGGAAAAAAAGAATACCTTTTGGAAGATCTTATAGGCAGTTGGAGTGAATTGTTGGCTTGTTGAAAAGTATTTCAATTAGGAAGAGAGTAATTAATCTCTCTAAAGTTATACACTTTATAAAATAATGACAATTTTTAAAAGAGAGAAACTATTTCCCAATCCTTATATGATGTTGGGAAGTAATTTTCTACACCCTCCTTACTATTGTATGAGAGAGTAATATGAAACCTCAAAGAGTTTTTTAGAACGATATGAAACCACTATGTTTTGGTGATGTTCAAAAGTCAAGGTTGTTTCTTAGAACATTTAGATAAGTAGAGGTTTTACACAAGAATAATTTAGTCTCATAGTATTTGTATATAGTCAATTTTTGTACGTACTAGAAAGTTATTTTAAGAAGCAGTAAGAAAGATATCCCAAACGAAGACTTAGTCTTCGTTTGGGACGACTTTCTTTCTGCTTCAGAAAGTAGCTTTCTAGTATAGAATTTTTAATTTTTGTACTAGAAAGCTACTTTATGAAGTAGTAAAAAAGCTATCCTAAACGAAGCCATAGTCTCTCGACTATACAAAATTGATCCAAAATATTTTCTTTGGGACTAAATTTGAATCATTTTTATACAGTCGAGGAATTAAATTACAATCAATTTATATCAGAAGTACAAGATGAGTGACCATTTTGGATTAATTTTGTATAGATAAGTAACTAAATTAGAGGAACATGATTCTCTAGTGCTAAATTAGCTACACATAAGTAGTCTGAGAACTATTTTGAAATTTTTCTAATAAAATTAATATTATAGCTATAATGATCTATTTAATAAAAAAAAGAGTTAATTAATCTAGCATGCAATTTCCCAATCAAAAAGTACAAATTAAAATTAAAGACTTTATAACAAACTTTTATTAATCAAACAACTATAAATGATCACAACATAAACAATTATTCTAAATCAATTCCAAAAACTTCTTAAAAAAAAAAAAACTAAACTAAATATCAAATATATATAGAAAAGTATGACCTATCAATTTAATAAAATCTACTAATGTAAAAATTGAATAGCTTGAATCAAAACACTCTTAAACCTATTCACATCAAGCCTCACATTCTGATGATCCAAATAAATTTTCCTCAATGCAAGCCACCCTTGTCTATGTATTGAACCAGGATCCTTAAAGACAGGTCCATCTCTATCAAATTGCTCTATCAAAGTACTCTCTTCTTCACTTATTACATACTGTAAATACCTTAGCTTCATCTCAAATGCAGGTCTTCCAAAATCAATCCAAGCTATATTCTCCAATGCTCCCAAAGGAACTATTTGTATAACAACTGAATTAATTGGAAGAAAAACTAGATTAGTAAGCCCAGCTCCATGAACTCCCATGATCACATCACAGGAGTTAACAATGTGTGAGAACCGAACAAGATTAGAAGAAACTTTTGCTTCAGCAACCACTGCTTCATAGCCTAAATCTTCGGCCATTCTTACTATTTCATCAATGTTCATGAAAGAACGAGTGAATTTCCTCGCTATGATCAAAAGCCTTGGCTTCTTAGCCTGATTATCTCTTAGTTTTATTGCTACTTGTCTCTCTAATCCATATGATTTTTTCATTATTTGAGAGAAATCGACCATTGAATATGAATTTGGAGCTCTTGAAGGATCAATACTCATCTCCTTGTGCTTCCTAAGACCAACTATCACATGTGGGTAACAATGAACATTTTCAATCTTATTAAAGTTGATTACTTCATACTTAGAGAGCTGCTGGAGATATGGTTTGTACTTGGCTAACCACCATGGCTGCACATTGCTTATCAGAAACTGAACTTCTGTTCTGAAACTGGTTGATGTGATGAAGAGAGGGATAAGAATGTCTGTAAAGTCATGGAAAATGTTTCCCATGTAACCCCCAGCGGAGAAGAAAATGGCTGGGATGGTATGGTTGATAGAGCAGGAAGGGAGTTCTTCTTTATTGGATGATAATTTTACAGACATTTCTGTTACATGTTGTAATGCTGTTAGATCTCCTTTGCGAGGATGAGGCTTGATAGTCCATGATTGTTCTCTCTGTGAAGTACTAATTTCAGAGAGAATGGTTGATGAGTTCCCACGGATTCTGATATTGCCTTTTAGCTCACAAATGTCTGATCTCATGTCTGAAAAATCACAGACTGGTTTCATGTCTGCTTCTTCTGTCACATTTCTTGTGCCTGCAAGAGAATGATTAGTTAGTGATTACATATGAGTGCTTCTGATTGCTTTGGTTGATAATTAGCAAAATGAATTGAATCTGGTTTAGCTCTTTGAGACGGTTACAATATTTTATAAAGTTGATTGTAAAGTTATTATAGCAAAGCAACTTAGATACTCTAATTATAAAAAGTAGTTTTCCACCACAAAAAATTCTGAAAAGCGGTGACAAGGCAAGTGATAAAGGCTTCATTTGGGACGGCTTTCTTACTGCTTCTTAAAGTAACTTATTAGCATAAAAATTAATTTTTTTTTTACTATAAAGTTGTTTTAAGAAGCAGAAAGAAAGCCATCTCAAACGAAACCAAAATATAGATAAAAAAAATTGATGTTGTTGTCTAAAAAGTAAAATCGTGAAAAAGCTATGACAAACACTCTAAATTAGAAGGGATTCATGAGTTGGATTTTGGATGAAGCAGAGTTAAACTATTCACTGAATTAAATGTTTAAAGTGAAATTATGCTTAGCACAGGAAAGTTCTGAGTAATGATCAAAATGCTCACTGGATTTCTTAGAAGTGTTCATTTTAGTCTCATACTACTCTTTTGAGATATTCCATATAGCACCGCTATGCTCGTTAATTGGGAAAATTATTAGGTCCAGTCACCTGACAGAGAGATACATCCGGATTTTTCTCTGTCTACAGTAAAAGCATAGTCAAAGCGCAGCTGCTACAGTACCTGCGCTTTACTGTAGATAGAGGAAAATCCGGATTTTTTTGTATCAGGTGGGTCACCCTAATAATTTGCCCGTTAATTGAGGCTTTGTTTGGGAAGGCTTTTTTACTGTTTTGTAAAGCTATTTTTTTAGTTAGCTAAACTTACATAATAAATGATTAATGACATGGCCTTCGCTGCTCAAATCTCCCTTCTGCTGGCATAGATCATATGTTTGGTTAAAAGCTGGGTCACCATCTCGAGTCTCACCATTCATGATACCTTCAACTGAGAATGAAGAAAATAATATTAAATCATAACAAGGCTTCATTAATGTAAATTAAAAAAATATGTATCTAAATATATATTTTTTTAATAAAAATCAAGCTACATATTTTTATTACATAAATTCTTATTTTCGGGTATCACATATTATTTCTAAATATAAGTAAATTATTATCTTATATGATTAAATTATTAATTAAACTATTTAACATTCACAATATTCTTAGGCTTTGTTTGGGATAGATTTCTTACTAATTTCTATAGCAGTTTTTTAGTAAAATATTTTTCAAACTAGAAATTTTTGTACTAGAAATTATTTTAACAATATTAAGAAAGTCATCTTAAATAAAACCTTGATATAATGATTATACTTATGAATGTTTATAAGAATTATATATATTGTTCAACATTAGTTTTAGCTGTATTAAGGGATAATAAATGAATAAGAATAATCATTCTTATATAAAATATATCAAAATACTTAAATATACATTTTTTAAATATTATTTAAATTATTTTATTCCTTTTCAATCAAATAACCCAAATGATAACAAAAAAGAGGAAAAAAACCCCTTCAAAATTCCTTGTGATAGAAATAATAGTACTAAATATTGCTGAAATTACAGTAATTCAAAGTCTAATTAGCTCACACGCTTCTCTTAGAAGAAATTTATGCTAGTAGTTGTTATTTCCCATTTGTCAATTTCGTGTGCTCAATAGCACAAATTTTTGGGTTTATTTAGGAGAAACCTTCTTGACTTTTAATGCTACTATGTTATTTTTATCATTATTTTATAATCATTTCTTAATATATTTTTATTTATTAACATGATGGGAAAATATTGTAATTAGTAGCTTAATTAGTATCTATATTGTAATTAAGTACATTTGTTAAATATGTGTTTAGATTTTATTTCGGACAGTTTTTTTATTGCTTTCTAAAATAGTTTTTTAATAAAAGAAATTTCTAATTTCGTTTTAGAAAGCAGCAAGAGAGCTATTGCAAATGAAACTTTTAAAATTGAGAAGATTTAGGTGCTTATAATTAATAATTAAAAAATAATTTATTCTAAAACTATACTCATTAAAAATAACACATACATGCATTTTATTCAAATCATGTATTTTAGCAGATTTATTAGAAAAAATTGCATCATGAGAGAGATTAAAAACAAGAAAGAAAATTGCCAAATGAGCAAATAATAATAATAATTTCAGTTACAATCGTTAACAGAAAATGCTAATTATAATCTTAATTGAAAGCACTAATTAAGCAAAGAACTAATGAATAAAAATTACATAGTTTTTGCCATTTAACTTACACTTATTGAAAGGAATGACTGATGGCCCCAACATTAGAAAGAAGGTGACCATAACCATTGAGCATCCTATTACAAGAGCTTGTCCAAGCTTTCTCGGCTCAAACCTGCTAAAACCTTTTAATAACTTTGCCTCATAAGCCAACTTAGCCTTCTCCCCTTCTCTACCAAAGCTGGAAGGAGCAGCCATGGCTTCTAATGCATGTAGGAGAAAGAAAGGAGAGATAATTAAGCTCAAATGTTCATTGCTTGAACTACTCCTAATAAGCAAACCTCAATCAATTTCCTATCTACCTTACACAAATAAAATAGTTTCTTACAAAGTTTTCAGCCGGTTTGACATTGTATAATATAATTTTTATATTGTTTTGGAGATGGTGATGCTGTAACTTAACAAATGGGAATATGGAACCTTCCTCATTTATTAAAATGGGTATATTTTATCAAAGGGTTTTGTTTATGGAAGATGGTTGGTGAAGGGATATTATTGAAGTGTTGTGTGGGCAAATTACTTGAATAATCACCATTGTTGCTTAAGTTGCACCTTGTTTTAAAAAAGCTTTGTGGTGATCCACTAATGGCGCTCATACAATTTGGATTGGTGATTAATTAGTAGGATGTCTTGTGATAAAAAAATAGTGAAAGTATCAATGTATTTTAAAGCTTTAAGTTAAATCAACATAAAATAAATTTAAAGGTTTTAAAGCTTAATCTTATGATACTTTGCTACCAGAATTTAAGTCTGATAAAAGTTTTAAAGATAATTATTTTCGGTAAATTTTCCGCTGGTAATTGTTAGGTTATGGTTGAAAATTTCGACATCACCATAAAGCTTGAATAAAATTCCTTGTCGACTTATTTTTCTTATTTTCTTTTAATTTTGTGGCCCTGATTGCCACTTGATGTCGATAATGCATGCCCCTTCTTTGATTGTCATGGCTACTCTCCTACGTTGTTTCTTGCCTAAAATAGAGATTTTTCATAGTCTTACTTAATTTTATTCTTCTTGTGTGTATATTTTTTATGAATCACTATCGCTTCTTCTGATGCAAATAGCTAACCAACAATAACAACAACATCTTCATCAAGCCTTTATCCCTCTATGTGGGGTTGACTACATGAATTTTTTTTCTTTTATTCTTTTTTTTTTTGTGTTATATTAAGAGTCAAATTTTTTTTTTAATCTAATTAAGAATTGACATTTATAATATTTTCAAAACATGTATTTTTATGTTTACATCTCTAATCTTTATATAAGCCAGATCTAATACATCTATTCTCATAACCTAATCATCAGAAGGCTGAGATTTTATGTAACCAAACCATCTAAGGTTACATAAAATGTCAGCCTTCTAATGATCAGGTTATGAGAAAAAAAAACCATTTATCTATGATTTTTTTTTCTTCAAAAAAAAAAAAAGGTTAGAATGAAAATTCAATGCAACATATGCAATAATAATTTATAGAGCTGCATAATATCATTGCATCATTCAATTAAGATTTTACACTTACAAAATATTGTTTAAAATAAAGCATGAGATCATAGAATTACAAACTATCAAAGAAAAAATAATCAGATAGACACATGCAAGGCTAACAAAATCATAAAATTCCAAAAAAAAAATTATGATGAAAGTCATCAAAAAAATTGACCCAACTTAGTTTAAGTAAAATTATATATATGAATGAAACAAGAGAAAATATATGTTGATGAAAATCACTAAAACTTAAAGTAAAGTTGGTAACAATAACAATCACATGTAGAATAAGTGATTCTTTGCGAATAGCTTGAACTTTTAAATAAAAATTCTAAGTTGCATAAGCAATTGGTGCTACATCAAATATTAGGCTAAAATATATGAAAAGTTAGTTATAAAACACTATGTTGGAAAACCCAAAGTTAGAGTATTTGTCAATTATAAATAAAACAAGTATGATAAGATCATTTTTTAAAATAGAGCACTAAATATATACTATTATTGTGAATATATGATTGCATTTGTAGCATATTTTTAATATCTAAAATGTTGAACTATCAACATCAATCCACTTGTTATTTGCTAGAAAACGTGAGTCAATAGAGTATATGTTTTATGTTTCAGCATTATATAAAAATTCAACACATACAGATAAATGTAGTATGATAAAAAAAATTTATGTGAAAAATCTAAATAGGGAAAAAATCACGGGATCTAACTCATATTAAAATTCCATGATATATCAGAATATACAAGAACACTTCTTTTCTCACTGTTGAAGAAGAATAGAGCTATTTGAGAATAAAATGTCTTATTTCTCTTATAGAATTTAACATGGGGCCTAGTCCATATGAAAAATAATCTATCCTACGGTCCATCTCGATTCTCTTGATCATGAAGTATTTATTCATTATTTAAGTTCTTTAATGATGTTTGAATTGAGTGATATTAGGCTCGTTTGAATTGTCTCGTCAAGCCGCTTGATTTGGATATAAGTATGTTGATTTTGGAGATCATTTGGTCATCTATTTAATGTTTGTAGTTTTCAATTATGCTTCAAGTACTTGATTTGTGTTCTTTTAAGCCATGATTAAACCACTTGAAATCATTGAGTTCATCTTATTGAGATGCTCAACTCGACTATTAGTTTGTGAAAATTGGGGACCTATATAATTACAAAAGTTTCCAAGTAAAGATTTCTGTCACTCAAACAATTTTTCATAGATATATCACTACTACCATGATAGGCAATTTATACACAATCATTATTGAATAATATATACTATTTAATTAAAAAATGAATATTTTAATTATTTGTTAATTTTCACTTGTGCTAATCTAAGAGTGATAAACAGTAAACACCATCGAGTTAGAGTATGCAAATCTAAATTCAAAATCAAATATTTTGATTTTCACTCCAAACAAATCATATTGAATCAACAATGAGCAATTTATAGTTGAGTTTCAAGCTGATATTAATTTAGCTTGATACGTTATAATGAAATTATCTTGATTGGGCACGAATCCCGATGCAAAACTCAACCCGGAAACTTCAAAAATTAAATCCGGAAGCACCCGAACTCCGATTTCAGCAAGCTTACAGTCAAACTGAGCGTCTCGGAAACACGAACCCAACGAAACCAAATTCAACCCAATCCGAGCCCAAATGGGTTCAAATCAAGGACCTGAAGTGCTGTTGGAAGGTTCAAACCACAATTTGAGTTAACACACGGTCTCCGATTTTAACAAGCTTATACTCGAATTGAACGGCTCGACAAGATGAATCCAACGAGCCCAAGATCGCCAATTTCCAACATCACTAAGGCTTTCAAATGTCCAACGAACGGTGAACGATCGAAGGGTTCAACATCAACCGTCCATTCGACCACTCCCTATCCGCCCCTGATCTCACAACTATTTACAAGCCATGCCACTCCAGAAAAACTATAAATAGAGCCCTCATTCTACACAAAGGGAACTCAAGTGAAGAAAGAGAAGAAGAACCGAAGAAGAAGAGAAAGGGGAAAAGGAGAATCCTCTCCTCCTCGACCACCGCGGAGCTCTTCCCGCCACCTGAATACGCCAGAATTCTGCCGGATTTTTCAGAAACGACGGGATTCTGCAAAACTTTGTTAATTTGCTTCAAATTGTAATCTGATCGTCCCGATTTTTGGGACGAATCAGTTTCTTGTAATTTACAAAAATACTAGTGAAACTTTTCAGCTGGGCGTGACCCCGTGGTTTTTCCCTCTTCTGGGTTTTCCACGTAAAAATCATGGTGTTCATTTTCTTTTCTGTTTGTGTGCTGAATATTCGTGCAACGCTCGGACGTGAATTTCTAAACTCTACAACAGCGTATATTCTAGCCCGCAACAGTTTGACGCCGTCTGTGGGAAACTACTATCCCACAACTTCAAGTATTGCTACTATGTTCAACAGAAGTAGCAGTCGCATCGTTGGAGCTTCCCACTCTAACTCCCACCAATCCAGAAATTAGTCTGTGAATCACAGACGCCCGATGTATACCTCTTTTCATCCTGGGGGGCAAAATGCTGCCGGAGAAGGAACCTTGGGACTTTCTTTAGAAGAAAGAATCCGAAAGATGGAAGAATCTCAGAATGAAATTCTTCAACTCCTGCGAGAGACTCGGCAACTGACACTACCACAAAGGGAGGAAGTGCTTCTCCCTCGAGATCCACCACGGATTGAAGATGTTCAAATCGAGCATCTTCAAGCAAAAATTTCTCCCCCAAGAAGGCAAATACATCAGGATAACGAACTTGCCGATACAGCAAGTTCTACACATCTTCCGCCCTCAACTCGACAGCCTTGCATTCTCCCTGATCTCCCAGAAGACTCTACCCAACCACAAGTTGTTGAGCTCCATCGCAACGCCCTCCATCATGAATTGCGGAGATTAGTACTGGAAGAGTTCCACCGAGAAGATGTGAGGCAAAATCTTCGACCGAGGAACTTCCATGAGTCATCACCTCTAACTGAAGCCATTCTTCATCACCCTATTCCAGTAGGATTCAAAGTACAAAATGTTGAGTCCTACGACGGAACGACCGACCTGTATGAGTATATCATCTACTATAGAACCATCATGCATATTTAACGAGCCTCGGACGTGCTCCTCTGTCAAGTCTTTCCTGCCACCCTTAAAGGACAAGCCCGAACGTGGTTTTATTCGCTTCCACCTGAAACAATTCCCTCATTTGTCAAATTGGCCAAAGTATTCGTCAAACAATTTGTGGCCAATCAAAGAATTGCTAAGGATTCTTCCCACCTATCCGTGATCCGTCAAATGACGGAGAATCGTTGAAAGAGTATTTTCAGTGATTTTTCACTGAGGATCGACAGATTTCAGGAGTAAACCCTGAATTACTCATAGGGATCTTTCTCGGAGGCCTTCGTCCTGGCCCCTTCTATTCAGCACTCATGCATGATACTATTCATTCATATGCTGATCTGATCCATCGCGTGGAGGCGCAAATTTCTGCAGATGAAGCTATAAATGCTCACATGAAGCAGTTTGAGCAAATAAATGGGAAGCGCAAAGTTGCACCTGGGATGACAAATTCATTCTCACAACAGAAAAAATAAAGGAAGAATGATCTCCCTCCTAGGCCTCCATTACCACGATGTGAACACCGACAGGAGAAGGAGTATACCCCACTCAACAGATCTCGAGCAAATGTATTGATGGTCGTTCGAGATCAAGATACATTAAAATGGACGAATCCCTTGAAGTCGAACACAGGAAATCCAAATCAGTATTGTCACTTTCATCATAGCCGTGGTCACACTACTGAAGCCTGTAAGCAACTCAAGGATGAGATTGAAAGACTTATCCGTCAGGGCTATCTTTGACAATTTATTCAAGATTCAACTACCCGAGAGGAAGTTCGTCTCGCTGGGGGCAGAATCAACAACGAAGACAACCATTGAATAATATTCAAATTGTTGGAGAGATTGAATGATCACACACTTCATGCATTTGTATTAGCAATACTACTTGTCTTGTTGTCTCTTTTATGTTGATTAGGATGTCATTTTGATATCTCTAATGTCTTCTTACAAGTTAAATGTTGTATTGTGTCCGTACGTATATCATATGTGTTGAGTCTCAAAAATAGCGAAGCCTCAACTGTTAGAAAGGCAGAGGGAGAAAATGAGAAGGTGCAATTTTTCTAAAGGCCCAGGGGGGGCCTATTTATAGGTTTTTGAGGAAGAAAGGGGAAGTTATTGCCATTTTCGGAATCCCATTTTTTTAAAATTTTTCTGATTTTTTTGAATTTTTTGGGATTTTTAGGGAAAAAATAGCAAAAAACTGATTTTTTTTTTTTTCACGTGGTGGGGCCCACTTAAGGCAGTGGCAGGCCGGCTGGTTCGGCTACCCGGTCCGTTCTGGACTGGTTTTTCGCCACGAAAAGTCCAAATCCGACGTTTTTGGGGTCCCTAGACATATTTTTCGATGTTCCGGACTCGATTTTGACACTTTTGGAGCTCAACGGGGCCTCTACAATCAAATTTGTGCAAGTGTTCAACTTTCAGAATGCAATTTTTTGCTATTAGGCAAATGTAAGATTTCAGAACAAATATTTTCGGACTCCTGGAGCTTCGACGTCCAAAAATAGGGGGGCAACTGATACGTTATAATGAAATTATCTTGATTGGGCACGAATCTCGATGCAAAATCCAACCTGAAAACTTCAAAAATTAAATCCGGAAGTACCCGAACTCCGATTTCATCGAGCTTATAGTCAAACTGAGCGTCTCGGAAATACAAACCCAACAACACCAAATTCAACCCAATCCGAGCCTAAATGGGTCCAAATCAAGGACCCGAAGCGCTGTTGGAAGGTTCAAACCACAATTTGAGTTACCAAACGGTCTTCAATTTTAACGATTTATACTCGAATCGAATGGCTCGACGAGACGAATCCAACGAGACCAAGATCGCCGAATTCTGACATCACTAAGGCCTTCAAATGTCCAACGAACGGTGCTATGATCGAAGGGTTCAACATCAACCGTCCATTCGACCACTCTCTATTCGCCCCTGATCTCACAACTATTTACAAGCCATGCCACTCTATAAAAATTATAAATAGAGCCCTCATTCTACACAAAGGGAACTCAAGTGAAGAAAGAGAAGAAGAATGGAATAAGAAGAGAAAGGGGAAAAAGAGAATCCTCTCCTCCTCGACCACTGCCTGAGCTCTTCCCGCCGCCTGAATACGCCGGAACTTTGCTGGATTTTTTGGAAACGACGGGATTCTGTAAAACTTTGTAAATTTGCTTCAAGTTGTAATCTGATCGTCCCGATTTGTGGGACGAATCAGTTTCTTGTAATTTACAAAAACACTAGTGGATTTCAGCTGGGCATGGTCCCGTGGAGCGGGAAGCATCGAAGGAAAATCAAGTCGGACTCTCTCTCTCTCTCTCGCTCGCTAGCCGGTTGAGTGTTCTCTCTTCCTCTAATTTGCAGATTGCTATCTTCCATCCATGCAACTTCGGATTCGTGTGGTATGCTTTCGCGAAAGCTAGGGATTTTGAATGTCGTCAACTCAATGGAAATATAAGCCCTCTGTATCTGGATCTAAAGAAACCCTAAAAGTTCATTGCCAAACACGAAGTCGCGTCGGGAGCTCTCTGGGAAAGGCATCAACGGTTTGAAGGAGAAGGGTTCACGACGGGAGCTCTGTGGGGGCAAGCATCGACGGGACCGGTGGCGTGTCAAGGAGAAGATGGGTTCGTGACGGGTTAGGTGGCGGAAGGGGCATCTATCTGCGTGGATTTGAGTTAATTTTGTCCATAGCCCGGATTTACTGAATCCGTGGTTGAAGGTAAAACGGACGATAACCGGGATTTAGGATTCCGTAGGATTTTAAGTTGTCATTTTTTGCTATTTGGCAGGATTTTGGTTAATTATTGTGATAAGCCGAAATGCCGCAACCCAAGATCAGTTCTTTCTTCCAACCGTCCTTTCCAGAAACTCAACATGCACTTCAGGTTCCGAACAAGATGGAGGCTTGGCATCTGCTCTCTGGAGTGATGAATGCTGATTCCCGCTCAGTATTAGCTTTCAAGGACTCCAATTTAGATCCGAAAAGGTATTCAGCTTATGATCTATGTATACCTCAGTTAAAATTCTCATTTGTAGAATACGGTTCTCTGAAGATTTTTTTTTTTTTTTTTGGTTGTCTGAAGAAATTTTTTTTTTTTTTTTTGGTTTTTCTAATAACGATATGGTATGCCTTTGTTCCGATCAGTGATTGTGATGAGTTTCCACCATCAGAACGTTCTTGTGAGTACAAAAAGAGTGGAAGCTCGTTAAATCCTTGTAGAAATCTCAGTAAGAAGAGAAGATACGAACAATACCATTTGGATTTCGGGCAATCCGACTTCATTCTTTACTCATGCTCTGTATGTGGACTCATGTATTCTCGTGGGGTAGAAGAGGATGAGCGGGTTCACCGGAAGTTCCATCAGGACTATGATAGGGGAATTCAGTTCAAGGTCTTTGTTCTTTAACTATCTTTTAACTGTTTTACATTTGACAAGCTGTTGTTGATTAATGTGAATTTAATCTCAAGTCTTATTGCAGGGCTGGCATAATGAGAGAGTAGTATCTGATCCTTGGACAAAAGGGGATCGCATTTTGCTTATTTTGGACAGTGATTCTTCAACTCAAAAACGTTTGGTATTGGCGTTTCTATTTACATTTTTTTTGTAAAATGTTATATACACCATCATGCTCTCCTTAGAGTTATAGGATGACTGTAACAACTTGCAACCTTCTGTAACCTAACCATAAAGGAAAATCACAATTTCAATATATGTGTAGTTGAGGCCTTTCTCCTGCAATACAATTCATCATATTGAACAAATCATGCATCAAGGAAGTGTTTTTTTTTTTGAAGTAATCAACGTCAAGATTTTGAACTTTCACTCTGCTTGTGCTGGTAGATTCAAAAGGTGGTTAAAATGACAAAGAAAGAACTTGGATTTGCTGATGAGAATATCATCCATGCTCTTTGTAAGGTGAACTAGTTTAGTCTACGGAATGGTGGAAATTTGTTTAATCTAGTTGGTTTCATTTAAAAGGAAAAGTTATGTAACTAGGAACTGTTTTGAATTTACTGCTCTTTTGCTGTAACAAATGGCATTCCTGTACTTCAGGTTTATCTCTTCATTTCTGCTCATAGAATTGTTGGATGGCTTGTTGCTGAACCTATACAAACAGCCCATAGAGTTATCCCAAACTCTTCCTCAGGCAATAGCTTTGACAGTGGAATTGCCGAAAGTCCTACGAAAGAGCAAATGGGTATTGCAGATTCAAAGAAATCAAAAGAAACCACTCTTCAGTTTGGAGATTTCAAGTTCCGCAGGGAACTTGTAAAGAAAGATTGCCCTGCAACGAGCACCAAACTTAATAAATGGGATTGCGGTGCTATCATATGTGAAGAGAAAGCCGTTCCAGCTAAGTGTGGTATTATGGCAATTTGGGTCGTGCCATCCAGCAGAAGAAAGAAAGTTGCCACTCAGTTAATGGATGCTGCAAGGTAAAGTCAGCTTGAATCATGAAAGCGAGCAAAGTTGTTTTGATGTTATTTATGTTCTTTATTGTTTCTGTAGCTGATTAACAAGTCGCTTGCTCTTAATGGTTTCAAAATTTCATTTTCTACAGGAAGAGTTTCTGCACAGACCAAATTTTGGATATTTCAAAGTGTGCATTCTCTCCACCTACCTCAGCAGGGTTGGCATTTGCTTCCAGTTATACGAACAGCAGATCATTTCTAGTTTACAGAGCAGATGATGTTTGAACAAAACGAGGATATAAGCATTCTAGAAAATCAGTAATCACATTTTCCGTAATAATTTTTTGAATTCACCATTAATTGATATCCCAAATACTGATACTACATTTCTTAGATTCCTTTAATCTGCTGTTGGGGCATTCCTTGTCTTCAATCTAGAATTAGACCTGCTGAGTTAGTTAATAGTCAACAGTTACAATAATTTTTCTGGTTTTACACCAAACAATCTAATTGAATTTTATGTAATGTGTTAAATCATGAATTGTTCGTGAATCACACCAAATTATATTTAAAATAGTGAGTGAAAAGAGAATGGAGAAATAGAGAGAGAAAAGAAGAATTCAACCGTCAGAAGTTCTGAGATTTCTATAAAATAAACTTGAATGCATAAAATTAAAAAAAATTGAACTCAACCACAACCCCTTATTTATAGATTTGGATAGGGGTTTGAGTGTTACATAATTGATTACATATATATGTATCTATTATAAAAATAAGAGAAAAATATACTAGTTGTATAACCCAATCAGAATGTCCAACTTGATAAAGTTGTACACTGAGCTCCAAAGAAGTCATTGGCTTGGCATATTGATGGTCAAATAGTCAAGTAATTGGTTAATAGTTTTTTTTACAAGTCAACCTTTATTGAGTAGTCACTAGGGATGACTTCATATATTGTAATTGCGAGGACCAACTGATTGAGTGTATTTGTTAGATTGGGATGAGTTTTGAGATGTAGTTGTCTGTTTGAGGCGAGTTTTCTTGTAGATTGGTTAGTTTCTTTTAAATTGAGACCCAATGTATTGAGTTAGCTTGGTTGAAATGGGTTTACTTTGCTTGAACTATGTGTTCTGGATATTTGGATGTACTAAATGCTTATTTATTTATTTATTTTAATAAATTGAAGGCAGTCCCTCAACACAGCGAACCAAAACACCATTTGTTTGGCTCAAGATAGGCATTGATTTTAAGTATGTTGTTGCTTCAGAATAAAAAAATCTCGATGAAAGCATTGATGTTGGCTTAAAGTCATAAACAAGGCAAGGCACAAACACAAGCATCAGTACTTGGGTCAAGAGATCCTGTTGATTCAGAAGTAGAAGAAGGCTTGGAAGCAGGCATGTAACACATCAACAGTTCCAACATAAGAGATGGATCTCTTATAGGCTATACAAGAGAAGCATATCAAAACTAGGCAACTAATAAGGAATGAAGAAAAAAAAAAAAAAAGAGAGAAGAATAGCAAGCTATCCTCTTTCTAGTTTGAGGGCATGAGGACTTGTTTATCACTATTCTATTACATGACTTTATTATCGCTGCTTGAATCCTTCTCCAAATTTGAATTAAGGCATTCCATTTGATATACATATTAGTATCGCCCTCTTTAGAAAAGTCAGATAAGGAGGAAGGCATGGAATTGATAGGGAACCTTAGCCAAGCGGCTAAGGCAGAAGTATGCAAAACTTCTATTTCAAGGTTTGAATCTGACCGATTCTTACAGTGTCATTCCATCCATCCTTTTTTTTTTCTTGTAAGTGGATACAATGTTTTCCTAGGATAAAACATGAGAATTTATGGAGTGAGAGTGACATATATATGGACATAAACTAGCCGTCTTGAGTCCAGTTTCATTCATTTAGACCTATAATATCCACGTTAAACATGAGGTGTGGAGCATCTCTTTGTAGTTCATATCAGTTTGAATGAGAAAATAGATTAAGTTTCATTCATAAACTAGGTCGAAGGTTTGATAGAGGTTGCCTTGTTGGCTTGCGAGTTGCTAGCTCTGTTGTTGATTACTAACCATAGGATAGTGAAAGCTAATATTCCTACTCTTGCTTGTGTGCTTGTTTGTTATTCTTCCTGTTATGAGACAACCTCGACTCAAGCTGACTCCACGCCATAAGTTGTCAAGCAGTTTGGGCTCGATCAATCAGTGAAGGGGAAACCAAAACTTGTTGGAGTTCCTCGCCATCACTTCGCCTAGATCCCTCCAGTAGTAAAGATGCAAGTTGAAAAGGTAACTTTTGTTGCCGAGGTGTGGAGCAATAAATGAAGCAAGTCTCAGAAGCATTCTAATTAGACCTCTTTCGAAAAGGCTTATTGGATTTTAGGGGGTTCCATATGAGAATAGGATATCATTGTCATTGTATGAGGAATTTGAGATCTCAATTGTAAGCTCTATTGAGATTTCCTTTGAAATCCTATTTTCTTTTTTGAATGATTATAGCGCCTTAGAGTAGCTTTTGATGCTGAGCTCTTCAATGTTGTTGAAGTGAAGTAAAGTTTTATGTTTGGAGCAAAAAATTACTTTCAAAAGTTATGCTCCATAAGGCTTTAGGATACCACGTTGAACCCATATTATTTCTAAGGAGGTTTCTTAATTGGCTTATATGGGGTTTCTTGGGCCCATTCCTAAACTAAGAATTCCTTCATCGATTGGTTATTAGATATCAGTGAAAGGAAAAAGTCGATTGGTTACCCGAAATGTAGCAATGAACTTAAAAAGGAAAAGGAGAACATTCTTTGCCTGAAGCTTGCTGAGCAGTCCCTTTATTCTTAAAGATGGATGCTTCACTTCTCATGGTGAGGGGTAGTGTCTTATAGCTAGTTTTGAGGCTAAAATCTTCAGGCTCACATGCTGTTGATCAACAAGGCAACCATCGCTGCGAAGGATGTTCCCTTACCTATTTCTTGAATAGGCTCCCATAGTTTTCAATATTGAAATACAGAACTTTGCCAAGAAACCTAAGATATTATGGTTCCTATGTTTACTCTGAAAATTAGTCATTTTGGAAGCAAAATTTCCTCAACAATAATATTGAAATTCATCTAAAAATCAATGTAATAGTTGCAAAATCAAAAGAAAAAAAACCTGTGACAAATGAAAACTTTGAAGGCCTTTCAAAGTCCTGAATTAATATTAGTAGAAACAATTTGTGTTTCCTTTCAAAAAGCTGGGCTTTGCTTTGTTGTTTCGTTCTGGATTAAGGTTTTTCATTCAAAGTTAGAGCTTTGTTTCAATCACGTTTGTCTGATTGAAATAGTTCAAAACATACAAATATATATTAAATGTTTATCTCGAGATGAGGTTTGTTTGGCTTGAAAATAAAGACCAACCTAGACATGATTTAATGTTGAATAATTGGATGTTAGTTCAATCACATATTGAGCTCATACTCTATCAACTAAAGCGCAGTAGTAACAACTCTTTTTCTCGTTTATACATAAATTGAACCAAATTTGTTTATTATATTCCTTTTGTATTGCATAGATAATTCCATTCAAATTATCCTCTAATTTGAAGTGTTCATATAAATCTTCATGCATGTTAGTAGATAGATATTTGCTATAATTATATATGTGTATATCTGTCGAATTCTTTTTTAACTTATTCTTTTAAGGAAACTACAGCACCACCTAATCCACTATCTAAAATAGTATTCATAAGCTGACATGTTTTCTGTTGGCATAAAGGGATTGATGAAATACAATTATGCTGAGATTATCAAGTTTTTTTTTTGTCTTTCTCTCTCTTCATCTCTCGTTTATTGCTAGTACATCAAGAAAGTTTTGGGGTTATTAGTTGGTCATCATCATTTATCTTCTCTTAATCCTATAATCGTCTTCATCATTTTCATCCTCAACTTATGCGTGTCTTTGTGCTTCTGTGAGCATGATATTATTTCCTTAACATTTCTTGATTAATAAGGCAATCACAAAATTCACAAATATTGGGCGATTGGGAGCTAGGATGAGTGCCAAATGTTTTTCTAGGACTATTCAACCTTTAAAGATAGAAATCTATTAGTTTTTTTATTTCCTTGAAATCCAAGACTAACAAAATTCATGTTGCTTGGTTAGGCCTTTATTTGAAGATGAGTGCAATAGAAGTTTCATATCGCTCATCTAATAAAGATATATTTTTAGTGTTAGGATCTTTGGGGAGAAGGTACCTTTTTGTTTGGTTTAGTTTATGTGGATATTGGTATTTTTTAAGTTTAATTTAGTAAAAAATTAATGAAACAAGTATAACATAAAACAATTATAAGGAATTGTTAGATGATAAGAAATAAATAATATTGCTTAAAGTTTGTTGACTTAGGAAATGTAGATGATAATAAATAAATAAATAAATGTAAAGCTAACATTATGACATAGGAAAAAATATCCTTATGCTAAACGAGAAAATCCTCAAAAAACTTTGATTTCAATAATATTGCTTAAAGCCAGTTGAACCTTAGGAAATGACATTTTTGTATTCCTACACTTGGAGAACAAGATTTGAAATCTCCATTCCCCGTGTACTTCAATATTATAAGTACTACTAGTAGAATTATAAAACTGCATAGATTCAAGGTTATCAATATCTAAAATAATAGGATGATGATGAGTGGGTAACATATTCAGAGGATTTGAATTAATGTTCTTGCATGTAGATGAAGAGTTGAACAAACACATTCTTGGAGCTTAGGACAGCAAGGGAAGGCTCTGATTTCACGATAAGATCTAGAATTTGTTCCTACTTTTTGTGCAAATTTGATTTGAAGTAGGGGGAATAACAACCGTTATGTTTGAAATTATATTTTGATTATTTATATGCTTCCACAACAATAATAACAACATCAAGTCTTAATCCCACTACGTGGGGTCAAATTATTTATATGCTTCTCTTGAATCTTAATATAGGGATCAATACCAATTAATTTCCTAAGTTTTGGCTGAACATTGAAACACCCATAGTAGTTGTGGCAAAAAAGTTTTGCAAGAATGAAAAATCATAGTAGAGCAATATGGTTTTAAATACAGCCTTTTGTTAATCATTAGAAGAGGAACTAATCCACACCTCTTCATACAAAGGAGTAATAATGTCCATTTCAATCATAAATCTAGCCACAAATAATCTTTAGATAGTTGAGATGTAGCATCATCTAGTTTTAAGGGTTTGTGAGAAATAAAATGCAAAGGCTATAATGCGGATTGGTTGAATTAGTGTAAATGATATCGAGTAACTAATCAGAACCAGACCTTTTTTTTTTTTTTAAAGGGTCACTTTTTTGGATACAAACCCGCCTGCTTCGAACCCGGGTTGACCCGCCAACCCATCGTCGTCTTTACTTCCAATCCAACAAAAAACGGCAAGATAGAGGTGATGAAATGGCAACTGGAGGACGGGACGGCGGCAGCAGTCAGCGGCACTCGACGAGGTCACTTGTTTAAATTTAAAGCAGTTAGAAGACGAGACAGTGGCACTGTGTTAGATGCCAGGTGCACTCAGGGGCACCTGGTAGGCAGGCCAATGCATACGGGACAACGATAGCGGCTAGGTGCATTTAGCGGCACTCAGTGAGCGTCATCATGTCAGACACGATCATTCGACGAGACGAGGTCAGTGCGGACAGGACGGTGACAACGACACAAGCCAGCGCAGATGATATGTGACTCACACGCGACGCGATATTCCTGTGTTAAGCCGGGTTGATTTTGGGTTTATGGGTCAACCCAAATCAGACCCGTTTTTTCAAAACGGGTTGACCCTAACTCGGAATTTTTGGGTTGGGTTTGAGTCGGGTTTTCGAGTCATGTAAAATATTGGCACTCCTAACTCTCCTGGTAATTAGCATTACAGGGGGACAAATGGTGACTTTTAGTTGATGTACATAAACTCATGGTCATTCATCATTAAATTTTATAATTATTATATAAAAAAAATAAATATATATATATAGGATCCCTCCATAACAGTGTGCTTTGATGAACAATTCTTAATATCTCAACTAAAATCTATTTATAATCAAATCTATAAAAGATCTCACAAGATGTTATGAGTTGAAGTCTTACCTTTTGAAATGATTTGTCATAATTGAACTCTTGTACTTATTAATTGATTAGTAAAATTCTCTTTGTTATATTACTTTGTACGTTAATCTTCTTCCCATTAACTATTTGCAAAATAAAACTCGAGACATATTCTTATAATTTTTGTGCCCTTATTGAGAACTATAATAAAGATATTGGCAAAAGCACTAATATAAGCAATTGACAAAGGAATCATTTCTCTCTTAAAATTAAGAAAATTTTCAAGAGGAAGAGTAGGCTGAAATTTTGGCTTTACCTAATCAATAATGAGAAAAAGGAGATAATAACTGCCTAACTTGTGAAGAAATTTGTTGAATTCCATCTTGTTTGGCAACATTGCCCTTGCCAATGAATTAGTTCAAAGTTTCAATTCCAAAAATTCACCCAATCATTTTTGTGCGAAGTTAGATATTCAAAAGCTTTTAATAGTGCCAGTCACAAAACTATTATTCAAAAGCTTATGCAAAAAGTAGTTCTTATCAACTTTGCACCATGGATCATTAGTTTTATTGAAGGTATTCCTTTTTTTCAATTATCATAAATGGAGAGATGAAAGGCTACTTCAAATCATTCTCTGGTCTTAGATAAAGATGTTCTCTATCTCCTTTTATTTTTCATCTTTATTAGTGACATAAAATCTTGTATCCTTAAAGACCAATGTATCAAATATAACTTTAGAGGATTCTCATTGAACAATTTGGTTATGAACCATCTCTAAATATTGATGATCTACTTATTTTTGGCATTGTAACTCCTATGAGCTCCTCATGTTTAAAGCCTATTTTTCATCACTTCAAAGGCATCTCAGATCTCTTCTTTAACTTGGATAAGTCCTTCAATAGCTATTTAAAATCCATTGATATCAATGCCTTGCTAAGTATGAATAAGATATCATGACTCTGATTGGATGTAATCTCTTCTATACTTTGCAGGACTTTCTACATCTAATTCATGAGTTTGATCTTAAATTTCCTTCACCACAATGGAGTTAAAAAAACTTGGTACAATCTCTTCGCACATTATCAATCTACTTAAGAAAAAAGGAGGTCTAGGCCTTCGCTCTCTTGACACACTAAAGCTTTGTTTGGGACAGCTTTCTTATTTTTTTCTAAAGTGGCTTCCTCTAGAACTTTTTTGTACTAGAAAGCTACTTTAGAAAGCAGTAAGAATGTAAATTCAAAATGACTTGGAGCCTTTATAATTTCAACTATTGCTTTGCTGACTAGTGTTTTAACTTCTATGGTTCTATTTAGGAAAAATAATATTCATATATCTCCCCACCATAGAGAACTCTTCACTTATCTGCCATCAAAGTGCAAAGTTGTATTACTATATTTGCATCTAGAAGATTTGAAAGGAGTTCAATTAATTTCTATTGGCTATGCATATTTTGGCAAACTGTAGTTGTTGCAATGCTTTTATATTTTTTTTGCTTAAAATTGATGGTTCTAAGTTATATTTTAGAAAGATGGGATTAAGTTGTATTTATATATCATGTATTTTTGTTTGTGTATATATAGTTTTGTAAAAAAAATATTAAATTTGTCCCCCTTTTAAAGTTTTATGATTTAGTATTATATATAACTATTTAAAAAAATGATAGTATTTTTAAAATAATCAACTTGTATCTTTGCTAAAATAAAAATAAAATATTGGCTTTGTTATGGTTAAATTTTATTTCTCTTTGATTGACAGATAGATATTAAAGATGCATTAGAATAAGTAATGAATGCTTTTAATCATCATATTAAAGTAATATTTTAAATTTATTTATTGATATCTTTTTATGATCATTTAAATAAATCTATCAAAGTATGTGCATCAAATTTGAATAAGAAGTGTAGTTGGCAAACCTATAAAGTATTAAAGAATTTATTACAAACATTAAGGATATCACCTCTAATGAATAATTGTATGTTGATTCCTTAATAAACAAAGGTTACTTTGAGTTTTCATAAAATCAGCTAAGTACTAGCCTTCAATGATACAAGCTTCTATTAAATGGATATGCAGATAGACGAGTGTTAAAATTTCGAATGTTAACTTATATGGTTGTAACTTAGACTTCATTTGGGATAATATTCTTATTGCTTAAAGTAAATTTTTAGTATAAAAATTTAATTTTTATGTTAAAAAATTATTTTAAGAAACAGTAAGAAAGCTGTCTTAAATGAATTCCTTAATTTGCATGAGTTATGACAAACAATCTAACCTAATTATAACTTAGGTTTCGTTTGAGATAGTTTTCTTATTACTTTTTAAAATAATTTTCTTGTATAAAAAATTCTAGTTCAAGAAATTTTTATATTAAAAAGTTATTTAAAAAATAATAAGAAAGTTGTCACAAATAAAACTTTAATAAATTTTTTTTAGAAATCTAGAAGTTTAATCATATAATTTATCTTAAAATAGACTAAATTAAAATCTTAATCAATGGTTAAAACAATTGAAGGGATCAAATAAAAGCATTATAAATGTTTGAATATAGTTTGAACATGTCGAATAAGATTTGAATAATGTTCAAATATGATTCAAACAATGTTTAAATATATGTTCGAATTATGTTTGAGAAAGAATATTATATAACATCATATAAAGATCATATGATTTGAATAAGATTTAAACAAACATTGGGTCTCCATCAAAATTATCTTGATTCAATATAACATGAATAAATCATTAAAATGTTACACAATCGATTGGAGCATATGATACAATATAATTCCCATGTTAAATCTGAGGGTCAAAGTTTGTGTTAAACTACTCTGTTCAATTCAACTTCACCAATATGATCTTCTTTTTTGTTGAATGAAGAAAACTCAATTAAAAGATGTTGAAATTAGAAATAGATAATGTTTGGAAGTATAGGGAGCTGTGATTAGTGGAACATTGTTACTTGGTGTTTTAAGGGGAAATTCTTAAGAATGACGGTATAAGAATAGCGAGGGGGCATTTATGAGCAAATTTCAACAAATAAACAAACATAGGATATTTCTCTAATTACAATTATTATGAGTCATATAAAGCCACATTTCCCTTTTTAATTTATGATTTTTTTTAAATCCACTAATATCAAATCATTGTTTATTTGTGAATTAAATGAAGGTAGATTTATAAAAGAAGAAATCATAAATGCCTTATAAGAGGAAAAAAGTATAGTGTCACTCCCAAATATTGGAACTAGATGTTTGACCAAACCCCTTGGGCTTGGCATGCAGAGTAGAGGCCAAAGAGTCCCCTAGAATCATTTTGAGATGAGGTCATACGACATTAGAAAGCTCTGGATGACTCTAGAAGACTCTGAAAGGTTTTACAATATTCAATAAGGTTGTACAAGATTCTAGAATGCCCTGAAAGATTCTAGAAGATTTTGGAAGGTATTGGCATGTTTTAGAAAGACCTATAGTTTTCTAGAAGATTCTAGAATACTCTAGAATGTTCTAGAATGTTGTGGATACTTAGAGAGTATACTTTAGAACTCCCCAGAACATTGTAATATAAGTAGGAAATAGTGTGGAGTATTCTAGAGAACTCCACACATGTATTTGGAGGGAATTTTAGAAAGTTCTTAGGCATGGGTGGAGGGCTATAAATAGGACCATCCTCTTTATTTGTAAGCAATCTCCTCACACCTTTCAATTCTCCTCTTGTAAGAATGTCCATGCATAATGAAACATTTCCCCAGCCACTTCCTCTCTTCCTAGCAAAATTGTGTGGGTTTAAGGTTGCTTAGCACAAGGAAGGAGTGCTAAGGCCGCACAGGCAACTAAGGTAAAGTCTCCCCATGATAATAGGCTACATGTTAGAGAAGAAAACGTATTTTGACTATACCCTTGATTTGCAAATCGAGCATTATAGGAGAAAAGCAACTCATCTCTTTTTTCAAAAAATATTTGAATATATTTTAAATTTTAGCTCAATTATCTCGAACAAAAGAGTCATCTTGTTGTTAATATATTTTTTAAAATCACTATGGTACATGATAGATAATACTTTAAATAATCTTCCATCCTCATAGTGAACATCGATCGAATTAAGGTTCAGAATTGTTGCGGACTAGAACATTCGCGGCTTGGAACGAATATCTAGCACACATACATATATAGAGAGGGTTGTGAGAGTCATAAGAGACCAAAATTTTTACTTGAAAAACTCTGAAAAAGGGTAAAAATTATGGGACTTGGCCCAATTAAAATGATTTTACTAATTTTTTAGTTGATTACAAGTGATGCCATTCTTTAGGAAAAAAAAAACTCATAATCAAAACCAAGAAAGAAAGATAGATGAGAGAGAGAGAGAGAGAGAGAGAGAGAGATTCTCCTTTATCCCTTTTGTTGAATAAAGTTATAGTTTCGGTCTCCAATCAAGTATTATGTTGACCTTCATGTTATACCCAATAGAATCAGAAATGGAGAAGAAATGAAAGCAGAAATCCTACGCATAAGCCTCTTACCCGTCGGACCCGCGATATCCTACCGAAATCGCGCTGATTCGGCGCCGCTTGAGTTGTATCCCACGAATTCTGCTCGAACCCCGCTCGAGGTCGTTCATTCACGTCGTTAAATACCAAATCAAATGGAGCCTTCGGCTGCTCTTCTTCCCACGATAACTCTTCTTCCACACACGCGAAACCTCTGCTCCCGTCGCCTCCAAGCTGCCGAAGCCAGTCTCTGCCTCCTGATTTCTCTAGTCCACAGAGAGAGAGAGAGAGAGAGAGAGAGAGAGAGAGAGAGAGAGAGAGAGAAGGAAACTAGCCGAACTTCCTCTCTCCCCTAGCCGCGAGTCTCCTTCCCTATCTGCCTTCTCCTTCGGCGTTCCTTCCAGCCCGATCGGAAGCAACAGCGGGAGCTCGCGGGCTTTGAAGATGGCTCTCCCTCACGCGCGTTTCTTCGGCCAAATCTCTTAAATATATAGTTTAAGAGAGTTAAACTCTCTGTTTAATAAGATTAGACTTAATCTTATTTTGATTTATAATTAAGTTAAATTAATTATAATTAGTTTATCAAAAATTATAAATTAAAATGATTTATTTATAATTAATTTAAATTAATATAATTAATTGTATATTAAAATATAATTAATTATAATTAGTTTTTTATTAATCATAAATTAAATCTAATTAAGTTATGATTAATTTTAAATTAAAAATAATTAATTATAGATTAAATATAATTAATTATATATTGCTTAATTGAAAAATAAATTTCATGAATTTTATAATTAATTTTAAATTAAATATAGTTAATTATATATTAATTATAATTAGTTTATCATTAATTATAAATTATGTATTTTAGTTTATAATTAATTATGAATTGAATATAATTAATTATATGCCAAATATAATTAATTATATATGATTTATAATTAATTATGAATTAAATATGCTTCTCTCCCTTCCCTCGATCCACGTGCCGACATTGATCGTTAAGGTATAACTCCTAGACCTTAAACCTTTGAAAACCCATTCCCGGTGCTTGCAACAAGGCGAACGACAAACTCATGCACGCTTTTATCTAGTGTGGTGAGAAGGGAATTCGTTGTGATGCTTGTGACGGGGCGGGTAATCAAAACCCCATTTTCGGCGTTAGTGTCAGACCGGAAAACCAACTCATGCACGGTTTTCTCTAGCGTGGTGGGAAGGGAACCTGGTGCGACGCCTATGGCGAGGCGGGGTAAATTATAAATTGCTTATTTTAAACTGGTGCTCGAAAGCCCATGCACGCCTTTCTCTGGCGTGGTGGGAGAACAAATTATTACGGCCGCGATGTCCTCGTTCGAGGGCACCTACCATGTACGCTTTTCTCTAGCGTGGCGGGAGGCTCAGTTTTCCGTAGTTTTCTCCTAAACGGGGGAGACGCCGGAAGGCTGCCGAAATTTCGGGTAAACATAAGATCGTACTTGGGACAATATGGAGCTTTACTTGGACATTGTTTGGACCATAAATGAACTAAATCTTAATGAACAAAATGCTTAAGTCAATCTTGAATGGTCGCTAAACTTGAACTTACAAATGAACTACAACGAAGACTTGAGTTAGAACATGATCTTGAACTCAAGAGACCAAGGGACTTGACCTGAACAATTCAAGCAAGGACTTGAGCTTGCTAATTGAACACTTGAACTTGCCAAATGACTACACTCAAACTTGATTTGAGCATTAAAAGAACTTGGACTTGCAACAAATGACTTAAGTGAACTCAAACATAAAGTGCAAAGAACTTTGACATTGAGCTTGAACAAGCAAAGGTGAACTTGAATGTGGACCGGAGTTTATAAAGACTTGTACTTTTATTTCTCCAAAATGATTCATGAAATACTCTAATCTAATGAACTACAATGATTGGTGGTGAACAATGTTCCAAATCTCACACATACAAACTCTTGGTGAGGTTGGGGAAAATCTCTACATCTCATTAACCATCAATTACAAGCAAATAAGAACGATGTACAAGATATTGCAATAGTTCTTCAATCGAAGCTAATGATGGAGGTGTTGATTGCAAGCAAAGAATAATAAACCAAAGTGACTTAAACTCTTGAATCAAATTGGTATGCATGCAACGATCAAATGAAGAATATGATAACATGCCTGTGATCAACAAAGTAAAGCTTCTTACAGACATTCAAAACTTTTATACCAAAGGGGATGTAGATATTAGAAGAGATGATGATCGTTGAAAGCATTCTGAAGTCACTTCAAAAGATGAGAGAACCATCATGCATATAACAAGCAACATGTATGGATGATAGTGGAAGGCCATTTGCTCATAAGTTGAAAGCGTAATAGATTTGGTGGCATTCCTACGACAAGAAAAATATATTGATGTCCGTAGATTGTGAAATTTGACGAATACGGAAGATGGTGATAGATACAACTCCATGCAGTCTAGATCATTATGCAATTAAATGAGTAATATGACTTTGAATGAGCGCATAACAGGCTTCTTTCGCCTACAAACAAAATACAGAGTTATTATATCAAATGTAAAGCACCTGAAGGTTGTTGTAGCAAAGAACATGATAGTACCCCTGCACGTGCACTATAATTTGTATACACATATGTACACTAAAGGGGAAAAATATAATCTCAACTCGCATGGGCCCCGATGAGCGTGTTATTGGTACACACATGACGTCTATGAATACTGCGCGGGTTATCAAATTTTGAACTCGATCCTCATAAGCAAGTAAATAGGAGTCGAAAAGGTTCAATCAATAATTATAAAATGCCCCCAAACCCGCATGGGCCCCGGCGAGCGTGTTATAAATGCACACGTGACGTCTAGGGATGCTGCGCGGGTCAATAAGTGAATTCTTGTTCGAACCCGATCCTTCTATACGGATTAATAGGAGTCGACAAGGTTCGAACCTGCAAACAATTACACGATTGTGACGACCGGTGTATTTATTTTAATACATTCATATTAGGCCTTTAAGGCCTATAATCAAAAGAATTCACTAAATAAAGGCATAAAGCCTACGAGAAACCCGATCCTCGATCAATAGCTTGGTCGAGTTGACATGGTTTAATCCATAAAGAGAAATGACCCCAAACACCCCGATGATGACCGTGTTGAATGCAAATCTCAACCGGATGGGTTTCCAAATACTTTCAAGTGTCTCCCAAAAGTCCATTTCAAATACTCCAAAACTCCACCCAAAATCCCAGAAAATTCAAAAAATCCCAAAAATATTTAAAATGAAATAAATCCATCAACTCACTTAAAATAAAATTCCCCCACCATCCGCTTTAAGTGCAAGATGGTGCAATTTTTATTTTAAATATCAAGCTCTCCCAAATTCTCAAATTCAAACACATGCTGCTACTATATGTCATATAACACGTATTCTCTACGTATATGATTGATGACTAGCCTTAATCGAAAGTTCTCTCTCGTTATCGGGAGGGGTAATTAACTATAGGGGCTTGCGCCTATATGAAACCAAAAATTAGATTATAAAGTCCTCGCAAAAATGAGGGCGAAATCTCTGGGTAGTGTCTTATCTACAAACTCATCTGCCTTTCAAAATTTACCTCGGAACTTATCAGTTAAAACTCTCTCGCCGAATAAAAAAAAAGCGAGCGGAGGTCAGGGACGAATTTTCGGAGCCCACATATTAAAATTAGCCCCTTCTCTTTCTAAGTGCAAGAATTGCTTGCTCGACATAATGGGGGAATCCTTTTGTGCAGTTATTTCGTTTATCTCATATCATAATTGCAGCAGATCAGGATTTACATAACATTCCTGACAAAAAAAAAAAAAAAAAAAAACCTTCACCAACTATTGCATCTAGAAAATATTGAGTACTAAATGCACCAGACATTCCGAATAGACCAAAAGGTCATACTTTATCTTAAAATGTTATTGTTTTTTCATAGATTTCATGAAAAAAAATTATTCTTATAAATTATAGTGTATACAATTTGTACAAATTTTTATTGTCTACAAAAAAATATTATTATTTTAAAATGTTATTATTTTGTTATAGATTTAATGAAAAAAATTATTTTTATAAATTATAGTGTATACAATTTAAACAAAATTTTATTTTGCCTCCAATGATAATTATTTTATAGATAATATACAAATATATAAATATTTCATTATTTTATAATAAATTTAATAATAAACATATTTTTAACATTTATATCATCTAAAAAAAAAATTCAACTCATCCTAATTCAAAAAAAAAAAAAAAGATATCACTTTTTTAGCCCCCATAAAAAAAGGATTAGAATATACTATTGTTTTATGTGTTTTGCGTGCAAATTTGTCTTAATTGACCTAAATGTGCAAAAAAAAAAAATCCACAATAAGCTGTGCAGCAGCTATCTAACAAGATTTGCTAATTTAAGCATTATCAAGGATTAAAATATAAAAATAACAATATATATAAGTTCTCTAACTTGATAGATAAAACTAGCTACATGAACAGTTTTTCTACCCTAGAAAAAAAAAAAACATAACAAGTTACAATAACCCTACTCAAACCTTAGTCTTATGTTCAGGCCTATGAGTAAACTCAAAGTCCACATGCACAAAAGCTCTTTCAACTTCAGGCAGCAGCTCCAGCTTCTCTTGAAGACTCTCACCAATATCATGAGCTTGGCTCAAAAGCATATTTCCAGGCAAAACAATATCAACCTCGACGAAATAATGTGATCCAAATGTGTAGGCTCGGACCGTATCGATGTGCTTAATCTCTTCATGATGATTCCAAATGAGGTAAGTTAGCTTTGCTAAGTAATCAGGTGGTGCACTTCGTCCGACTAATGAACAAACGTTCTCAAGAACCGTTCTTGCCCAGGTGCTCATTGTGTACAGTGCTATCTGCATCAAAAAACAGAAACTAAGAACCTACATCGGCTACGAAATTTCTCATTCATGAATGGTACTTTTTGGCTATTTGGATGTAAATTTATCAGTAATTTGTGTTATTTGCATAATGAAATTAGAGTAGTAGATTTTAAGATTCTTACTACTTTTCAATCTGTACATGTTTGGGAATTCTGGAATACTAATCAATCTTTGCGGTTGTCTAATTTTTGGTGTCCCCTTCATCCCATCTGATTCGAAAAGAGTAGTGGATCTTATCTCTATTATGATTTTTTTCTTTTTTGCAAATATATTTTTTTAAGGTTTTATTTGCTTTTCAATAATGTCTACCTCCCTTCTGTTAAGAATGGTAGCTTTTTTGGTTTTCTGTTTAGTTTTTTTGTTCAGATTGTAATAGTTTTTTTTCCCTGATTAATGCAATTTGCATCCCTTCAAAAAAAAAAAAAAAGTAACTATCTTTGAGCATAAGGGCTATGAACATTCCTACTTACCAGAATAGCTCCTACAGGATCGATCCACCAGCAAACTTTAATAGCTAGTACAGCAGTAGCTAAACCAATGGAGTTAGTGATGACATCAAATAAATGATCTTGCGCATAAGCTCTCACAATTTCGTTTTTGAAGCTACGGCAGTAGATCATCAGCACGAATTTTACAGCTGTAACGGAAGTCATGATTCCAATTATCCAGTTAATCTTTGAACTATCCAGTGAAGAGTGGGACTGCACAATAGAAAATCAAGACAGCAAAATAAATTAGATATTTCAGAGTATCTTAAGGTGTCACAATAGCAGGAGCAGATAATTCTGTTTCATGATTTTTTGATGAATTTCCATCAATTTATCCCCCAATAATTTTACTATCATCGTAGTAACAAATAACAAAACTGTACCGATGCTAGAAGTCTCTGACCAGACTCCAGTAGTACTTGGAAACCAAGAGTAGCCATAACTGAAGCAAAAACTATAATTCCCTGCGACAAAAAACATAAAAAAACCACACCAAAGCATATCATATTTGCATAAACAATCGAATAAGAGAGCATTTCACGGTGAAACAATATCATTGATAACTTACCACAGGTTGCATCCGCTTTTTGCCAATTGGATACCTATACTGGTTAGGCTTTTTCATGGCATGTGATGTGAACCATAAAATGAATCCAGAGAGAAGATCCAACAAGGAATCCAGTGTGGAAGCAATCACAGATAGAGACCTACTTGAAATTGATGCATACACTTTGGCTATAAAAAGAAGAAGATTAGCCATGTTTGATATATTGATTGCCATCCTCTCAAGTCGAGCCAATGCAGCAAGTTCATCCTGCAAATCCAACCAGTGAAATAAATTACAAAGTCTATTTGTATTACTTTAAAGACCTTTATCTCCTATTTTTCTCTTTAAGTCTGTTTTTTCAAGTAGCTTTATCAATCCAAACTAAGGCTTCGTTTGGGACGGCTTTCTTGCTACTTCTTAAAACAGCTTTCTAGTACAAATATTTTAATTTTTTGCTACAAAGCTACTTTAAAAAACATTAAAAAATGCCGTCCCAAACGAAACCTTAGCCATCAACAAATCCCCATGGAGTAGATAGCTACAGAAACTACATACTTTCCCACAAATTCCAATGACACGGATCTACATTAAAAGATTGAATGAAAAAACAAATATCCAGTCGGATGTATCAGACTATCAAAATTTCAGCACAATCCTTAACATACCTCTGTTGGAGCGCCTTCTAGACAGCCTAACTCAATAAAGCTTTCCATTTCAGTAAAATCCTTCAGAAGCTTCTCCTGCTTATTATAATATTTCTCGATTCTGCTTTTCTTTCCTGCGAAAGGAATGACTGACAATGAACACGCATCTTTGATGATATTTTAGAAGGTTTCACACAACAGCAAGAAGAATACTGAGATGCATAACAAAAAATATCACTAATACACAACCACCTTTGAGTTTATAAGAGTTAAACATCAATTTCAACTTTTTTGCACGCCATCAATTTTCAGATGGATTCAATTCAAATATTATTGAATCCTTCTTATCTCTTATTGTAAGGCAATTTCAGCAATTCTTTCATTTTTCTTTCCCATTCAAAATGGTAGGCATTAAGCACTCATCAAAAACCTCCAGAAAGAGTCAGTCAGATAAAATGCAAGTTCACTGGTAGGGCAAACAAAAGAACAATAGCCTAAGCAAAGTCAACCTGAGAATCAATCATTTATTTTTCTTTGTATTATACACTAAATTGCAAATATCATCATCATAATATACTTTCAAACTTTCAGATATAGAGATTCCTAAATTTTTGTGACAGCTATCATAGTTTACATGTAGGACTTTAATTGGGGTAAGAAATCTATGTATAATGAACTTAAAAAGTTGATAGATTTTCAAGTGTGTCCAGGAAAGAAAAATTCACATCTTACCATAATAATAAAATGATGCCGTCTTGACATAAAGAAACCAAGCCTATGAATATATACAATATTTATAGAATTGTGAAAAAGTATATTGTAACTGAGGAATCACAGCCAACCACAATATACTAACCATTAGGAGTTGAAAGTAAGGATACTAACCAATACCCCATACAGATGCACAAAACAAAGAATTCAAGAAATATTTACATTAATCAAGAATTAGTATTAAATTAATTAAAAAAAATACTATAAAACAAAAGCAATATATTTAGAAAATTAAAACAATATAAATAAAGTAATTAAAGGTGAATAACCTTGCAATTCATAGATTAGTATATAAATGATTTTTTCAAGAACAAATAGTAGGTTCCAATAATTATTTTGTTATACATATTATTTTAAAAGGAAAAATAAAATAATTTCAATAAATGTAGTTATAATTGTAATTAATAGAATTAATTAATTAGCAAAACAAGTCTTTGATAATTAGAATAAAAGGCCTGCTGTTAGACATCAAGGAAAGCCAACCTTATTTCTAGGTTCCTGATCAATTCCATCCAAGCAACAAATGATTGGATACTGTCATATTCAAGAGTTAGCACTTCAGCCCATTTAGGAAGACTAATAAAATAAGAAGTGATTTACACGAAAATAATTGTTCTTCCAAGCCAATTGGTCAAATAGAGAAAAAAAAAAAGCAAATCAACATTTGCCCAGGTCTTTGTCTTTACAGCTCAAAACAAAAAGAAAAATAATGCCTATACATATTGTGAGCCACAAAATTTTTTTAGTATTTTTAACTAACATCAAATTATATGATTTTAATTTATAAACAAAAGAAGATTAATGAAATTATTTGCTACAAAATTAACAAGAAAAATAGTTAAACATTAAGACATTTATTTAGAATCAACATAACAATTATCATAAAAGGCGAAAAAAATTCTTCCAATATATACAGCAAAAATATAAATTCATGAAGATATTTGTTGTAAAATCTACAGGATAAACAGCAACCATTAGAACAGAAAACATTTTCTTAAGCCGTTATTTTCAGATTTGTAGGACCAAACGTACAGCATCTGAATTTTTTCAGCCCATCATAATAGCAATTATGTCAATATCCACACCCAACTTTTTCCCAAAAATAGAATGCAAAAATCTCATTATTTTTGTTGGGACATTTAGGTTAATTAAGACAAATTCACACAAATATTATATATAGACAAGACTTAGAACTCAGGAACTCTTGATTGATAGAATGAACTCCCAACCAAAAACCAAAATGAGCTTGGAAAGAAAAAAATTTCCACCGTACATAACAAAACTTTTGCTTCCTAAACATAAATTTATTCCCTCTTACACAAAGTTCAACAACCAATAAAAATTACAAGAATTAGTTTAAAAAATAACTGTAAAAATATAACAATAAGTGATTTCAAGCAGAAAGTGCACGCATACCCATAGAAGCACCGAATACCCTAGAAACCAAAGTCTGATCTTCCCGTTTTGTCCACTCCGGCAACTGTAGACCGCTCACGTTGATACGCCAGGACGAACTCGATGAACCCACGGCCGAATTTTCTCCGGCAATCGCCAGAGAACTCATCTCCGTGATATCGCCGGCCGCCTCTCTACCAAGAAAGGCCATACCCTACGTTCAGTTATTCCACGAGAAAAAAGAGGCCCAATTAGATATATAGAGGACGGTGGAGAAAGCGCACTGGTAATATCCGTGCGAGGAAACTTTCACGAACGGCTTACCACGTGGCTTTCATGTGGCCGTTGATTTATAAAAGGTATGGCAATTGGCTTTTATTATCGCCGTCCGATGCAAAGCATTTGTTCTTCCAAAAGCGCTTTGCTTCCGGGATACTTCCTCGTCTCATCGTACGGCTTAGAATAATTCCTCTTTATTATTTTATAATATTTGAATATCTTATAATATTCTAATCGAATAAGTTTAATTTATTAAATTTATCTCATTAAAATACACATTTAAAATAAAAAATGATGTAAATACACATTTACGGAGAATTAGAAATTATAGAAGAAATCATAAAAAATTAATTAAAAATGAGTTAACAAAAATTTAATAGTTTTAGGCTTAAATAATAAAATCTTAATATATTTTACATTAATTAAATTTAAATGCTATCTATCCAACAAATTGAATTGAAATTCGGTTAAATATAACTTATCAACACATTAAATTTGAGGTGAAATTTTAAAAACAACTAGAGTATAAAATTAAATAAGTAAATAAGAAAGGATAGGTCGGATAAATTTGAGTTTGCAATACATACTTAATCGCCAATTGTTAGGCGATTTGATTGCCACGTGGGCAACGGTTGGGGGCTTATACTTCATTTCATGCATCATTCTTCCCTCTAATTTCTCTCTATTTTTAATTTTATCTTCCTTAAGTTGTATTGTGATAGTCGCTTTGTTTTGGTGAAGTCCATAACACAAAGTTCCCAAATCCGTCAACTAAAACCTATAATTTTCTTTGTGTATTTTGTTTTTGCTTTGATATATCTACTTTAGATTTGCCCAAGCATTTTAGTTATCACATCTTAGTTGTTATTTAAAATAATGTTGAATTTCATAGTTATTGATAAGTCATCAAACTGATTCGACTATAAGTTTGTTGAAATCAGAGCTTATTTAGGCTTATTAGTTCCATCGTTGGAAACTTCTAGAATTAAATTAAGGACCATCCAAGCTCTGATTTCAACAAACTTATAGTCGAATCAAAAATCTCAAATAGACGAACCCAACAACACCAAAATCAGTTCAATTCAAGCTCAAATAAGCCTAAATCAAAGGTCCAAAACATATTAGCAGGGTTCAAAGCATTAATTGGATAACCAAATGATCATCGAATATGCATGCTTATAGTCGAATCAAGCGACTCAACGAGATGAATCCAACGAGCCCAAGATCGATTAATTTGACATCATTATGGAACAAAAATGCTTGATAGACATTTTATGATTAAGGGAATCACTATCAGCCATCCGATGGAACACTCCCAATATATTCTTGATCTTCTTCATATTTACTAGTCATGTCACACCTAGAAAATTATAAATAGATCATCACTCTTCACATAAGGATGGGAGAAGGAAGAAGAGAAAATACTCTTGGGCTTAAAGAAATCTTAAGCTCCATCCTAGCACCATCATCGGCAAATCAGCATTACCAAGCTGCCATTATTGAATCTTCCCCCGACCATCATTGTCAGACCTCAATCATGTAGTTTTTGACAGATCCTTCCAACCACCATCGCTTGCCTGTAATCCTTCAAACCACCATCGCTTGCCTATAATCCTTCCGACTATTATCACCTGACTATGGTCATTTCGATCGCCATCATTCACTAACTATAACCCTTCCAATCTGTGACGCCCCAGGCATCCATAGTGAAAGGATTCGTCGACAGTCGTGATCAACCTCACTTCTTGCTCCCTTACTCAGACCTGAAATTGTTAACCACATATAATGAGCTTCAAAAAGCTCAGCAGGTCACCTAATACCTACAACTGAAATCAAAGCACAGTACTGAAATAATATGCATGTCAATCTATCAAATCCATAACAGTCAATTGCACATGATCAGTGAATCTATGCAGCAGGTATGAAAATCAGTAATCAATGCATGATCGATACAATCCACAATCATCGGTAAAAGATTCGATAAATAGTAGGAAGAAATCCATAAAGCTCAATAAATCAGTCATACGTCAAATCTCGAAAGAATCCATAAACAGTAGAAAAATCTATATTCGGAAGAATCTCAATTAAATTGATCAGTTACATCGATAGAGAAAAATCGTCTCGATAATAACCGTTAAAGCAATATCGTATCAATAGAATCAATCAAATCAATTATCTCTGATCAATAACATCAATCGGTATGAAATCATATAAAACAATCAAACCAATACAACGCAAGAACGGTTGAAATCAAATCAATACAGTAAAACATATTCCATATTGATCAATGAATCACATGCAGCAGTTCAATATGGTGTATCAATGAAGCGATAGTATCAATGAATCAGTATCAATGAATCAATATCAATGAATCAATGAATCAGTATCAGTATCAATGCTCAGTGACATAATGCGAATATCAACGAAATCGTATAGTAACAATAAATCCGTTAATAAATAAATTTCAATACAAATCCGTTGATATCAATAAATCGGTAAATCCATCATGAAATCATAAGAACAGTTCTGTACACATGCAATACAATACATTAATCTTACTGAACAAGTACAATCATTGGCTATTAAGACATTTTTCAAGTCGATAATCCATTGTGCTGTTGTAGAAATCCATAAATATATATTCGTTGGCTCAATAAAAGTCGTCACTCTATGCCCGTCTGTCGGCATAATAATCTCCTTATGACTCTCAATCGTTATATCAATTATCAATAGAGGATAACACCAAACCCTTTTTAAAGGAAAGCCCGTCGGCCCACCATCCTGTACAGGTCAAGTCAATCTCCAACTAACGGTTCAACCAGTCTTCACTTGTCTTTCAATAATATAACAGTATATCAATCATATATCCACATTCGTAGGCATATTCAATCAATCAAATCATCAAGTCAGAAAATCAGAGGTCATACGAAAAATTGGCGGCATAACGGCAGCACACGGAATGTACACAGAAATCACAGGTTCAGAAATTCACCAAATTACTAGAAATCGAAGAAAACAACATTACAAAGCTTAACTTGTACTGAAGCACTATTTTTAAACACCCAGATAATTTTCTATTCGATAAAAATCGCACAGAACTCAAAATAACCGGTAGAAACTTTACAATAAATACTCCAATCGTATAAAAAATATCAAATCAGAAACATAGCAAAAGTTGTGTGGTAAAACTTTCGTCAATACAAAATTATGCGCGTTATTCGGTAATGGAAATACAAAACTGAGCACAAAATTATCAAAACTCGAAATCTTTGAAATCAGAAATAGGATTCATATTTCTTACTTCGAGACAAATAAATCTTCCAACTACATCGTCGGACGAAAAGCGCTCCGCGGCCTCCAAAATCAAGCTTTCCCTTCTCTTTCGTTCTCTTTCTCTCTCCTGCCTTCTCTTTCTCTCTCTTCAAATGAATAAAAAAAATCTCAAATCCGATACTTATCAAGCAGGATCGTCCAGGACGATGCCCAGATCGTCCCGGGATGAACTCCTCTGGACACAGATCGTACAGACGAAATTAATTCCAATTTGTTTCGTCCCTGGACGATGCTCTCGAGTTCAATTCGTCCCGACTGTTCCAGGTTCGTACAGACGAAACATACACATTTCTTCATAATTTATTCAGTTCGTCCCGTACTAAGGCCAGTTCGTCCGGGACTAACAGCACAAAAAAAATCAGCTTTTTAAGGGTTTTACAATCTACCAACCTTAAAAAAAATGTCGTCCTTGATATTTCCCTTAAGGGATCGAATGCAAAATTGATATAAAACAAATTTGTCCAATCAAAACTCAAATCAAATCAAATCAAAATCAAAACTCGTCGGAAATCATACAGTCATTCAGTTCATTCAATCACATGTCATTCACTATGTAAATGATGCACTTGAAACTATCCATTCTATCAAACTATCAGTCAAATCCTTTCACAACACTTTCTCTGATACTATTGTGACGCCCCAGGCATCCATAGTGAAAGGATTCGTCGACAGTCTTGATCAACCTCATTTCTTGCTCCCTTGCTCAGACCTAAAATTGTTAACCACATATAATGAGCTTCAAAAAGCCCAGCAGATCACCTAATACCTACAACTGAAATCAAAGCACGGTACTGAAACAATATGCATGTCAATCTATCAAATCCATAACAGTCAATTACACATGATCAGTGAATCTATGCAGCATATACGAAAATCAGTAATCAATGCATGATCGATACAATCCACAATCATCGATAAAAGAATCGATAAACAGTAGGAAGAAATCCATAAAGCTCAATAAATCAGTACATACGTCAAATCTCGGAAGAATTCATAAACAATAGAAAAATCTATATTCAGAAGAATCTCAATTAAATTGATCAGTTACATCGATAGAGAAAAATCATCGTCTCGATAATAACCGTTAAAGCAATATCGTATCAATATAATCAATCAAATCAATTATCTCTGATCAATAACATCAATCGGTATGAAATCATATAAAATAATCAAACCAATACAGCGCAAGAACGGTGTAAATCAAATCAATACAGTAAAACATATTCCATATTGATCAATGAATCACATGCAGCAGTTCAATATGGTGTATCAATGAAGCGATAGTATCAATGAATCAGTATCAATGAATCAATATCAATGAATCAATGAATTAATAGTATCCATGTCCATAGCATCAATAAATCAATACATTATCCATATCCATATCAGTATCAGTATCAATGCTCAGTGACATAATGCAAATATCATTGAAATCATATATAACAATAAATCCGTAAATCCATCAATAAATAAATTTAAATACAAATCCATTGATATCAATAAATCAGTAAATCCATCATGAAATCATAAGAATAGTTCTGTACACTTGCAATACAATACAGTAATTTTACTGAATAAGTACAATCTCTGGCTATTAAGGCATTTTTTAAGTCGATAATCCATTGTGT